TCTCTTACTGATAGCGTCTGCAGGGCCTTATTCTGTTCCCTTTCCCCAAGATTAGATTTAACTCTGGGAGAGAAAGAAAGGAGCCTGAGCATTGTATGGAAAGGGAAAAAGATGAGGTGTTCTCATAGCACCCTGTCATTCTCAAGGGTGTTCATATAGAAAACCAAAATGGGCATTGCACAAATCCAGGAGAGCCATTTATACAAATTTTGATGTGAACACTGCCCCTTGGAGTTGTGCATTTTAATAGCCATTTAATAGAGCTCTGCTCTTACACACAGTTTTTTGAATTCTCATTATTTATTTTCACTTCTGTCTTCCCCTTGAAGCCAGGACAATTTCTTAATAATCCTTGTATTCCTGGCAGCTGGCTCAAGGTAGAGTCAGTCATTTTTATTAGAAAGTATTTTACGATTCTATTTCAGTATTCATCCATTTATACATTGTTAATTGGCTCGTTGACTTGTTATACTTTTCAAAAAAACCCTGAACTTTATAAAGTCTTAAAATTTACATGTGAAAAATAATAGATTATGTATAGTTGAGCCATTTAACTATTAGAGGAAGAAAGTGGATCATACCTTAGTTATTGATTGATTCTCTCTTTTACTTCTGCCTTTTTCACCTGATTGTCATCTGGGTCATACTTGTTCATTTGTTTTACTTGGTCAAATCACTAACAACATTGGAGCTCAGAAAGGGAATTAATAGACTATTAATGCTTGAGTTATATTTCCCTCTAAGATATATTTTAGCAATCTATTTGATTCTACTCTTGTAGAACAGAAAATATATGTTCTGTATATTAAAATGACATTGTTTTATATTCTTTTATGTAGATTTTAATGATATGTTAAAGGTATGTATATATAAACATATAAGTGTGTAGGTCTTTTTGAAAAAGTGTAAAGAAATTAGATGACTTAGGCTTATAATTAGAAAAAGACAATTACACTTTTATTATAATTTTAATCTCAGGCTTTGAAATTATGTCAAAGAATTAGGGCAAATCATTAGAAAGAAAAGTTAGAGCATTTGATTTTTTTAGTGTCATCCACAACTCTTCAAAGACATGTATTTCTATTAAAAATTTTAGTACTTGGAGAGTGTACTAATAGGGGACCTAACTGCAGCACCTTTTATAGAGAAGTCTTTATTTCCAGATGTTATGTGGTCTAGGCTCACATTCTTGAATACTTTTTGTGATCTTAGTTTTTATTATTAGTGGAAATGGATATAGGTTAAGTTTGTGAACGTGGTATCACATATTAATATCATTTTTTAGATAGGTACAGATATATAAAGCTATATAGTGATCCAGAAATATATACTTCTAAATTCTCAGAGTAAGTAATTTCTTATCTTACCCATGCTTGTATTTGATCAACAGTTGGTTTCTGAATACTTTAAGTTTTTAAAATTTTTCTTTCCATACCATTGGTGATAACTCCAAAAATATACAACTTATTTAATTCATAACGTCATGGGAAGACAGTTGGCTTGATTATGCCTATTTGCCAATTTCTTATCTTCTTTTCCCCTACAAGGGGCTTTTAGTGAGGGGAAGAAGTATTTCTTAAATGAGAGTGAAATCCTTATGTGAAAGATCAAAACTTACAGTAAGAAAAAAAAAAAACAGAGTAAGTTGGTGATCGAAACCTACACATTCCCCTTTCCAATACTGTTCTTCTTTTTTTTTTTTTTAAAGATTGTATTTATTTACTTGACAGAGACACAGCAAGAGAGGGAACACAAGCAGGGGGAGCGGGAGAGGGAGAAGCAGGCTTCCCGCGGAGCAGGGAGCCCGATGCGGGGCTCGATCCCAGGACCCTGGGATCATGACCTGAGCTGAAGGCAGATACTTAACAACTGAGCCACCCCTAATACTGTTCTAAAATGACAAAGCATGCCTCATTTTTTCAGCGATAAAATTTAATACTAAGAGTATATGTTATTGGAGGGAGCAGGATTAGGGGGATAAAACATTGGATTTTTAGGCCCAGATCTGTTTCTATGTAAATGACTTTAAACATGCTAGTAATTACCCTTATCTGAAAAAAATGAGTATGACTTTTTTCCCCAAAGAAACTCTCAGCATCAGAAATTGGATGATAAATCCTATTTTTTTCCAAATGAGGCTAATAGCTATTCCATTTTGAGTAAGTTCCTTGAGGGTTTGTATCCTGTATCATTTGGAGAGCAGTGCTTTATAATGGAGAGACTCTCGAGAAAACGTATGGCAAGTTTTGGGCTCTCTAGAAGATTTTTGTAATACATTCTAGATCTGTGCTCTGAAATAAGTGATTTTTGCTTTGTCTTCAGATTATTTTAAATTGTTGTTAACAGGAGTTAAACTACTTGTATTGAGAAAGATAGTCTGAGATATAGCTTCAGGATACTGTAAACATGCTGAGGTAAAAGTTCTTTATTTTTTTTGGACTGTAAGTATTTTTAAATTTTTGGTACTACATTTATATTTGAAGATGAAACTTATCTTAAAAATTTTTCTACTGTATGAGCAAATTCTCAGTTCCTGTTATATTGGTGCTTTTGTTTTAGTCAAAGGCTACCATTGCGATTATTTTTTGTGAGTATCAAAGAGCACAAAAATAAATATCATAGTTCTTTTTCCTCCTAATTTTGGTTATTACTCTTATACATATTGTCTTTGGGTTACTTGTTAATTTGTGAATGATTTTATAATTCTTCGGTTTTTACTACGCTATGACGAAAAATATTGCTCACATGCTTTAATAGCTGTTGGATTTGACTTCACCCTCATGCATTATACTAGAATGTATTGTTACCTAATCTAGTAATAATTTTATAATAGCAGCTTAACATCTCCTATAATTTTAATTGTTATCAAGAAAAATGACATCATTTAATTTGACTCAAAATTCAGAAGGATGGATGAATGACAAATTAATAATTTACCACCTTTGCATAAGACTGAAGCATAGAATATTAGAAGGATTGATGGCAGAAAAGGTTAACAAATTTTAGCAGCTTTCATTAGCTTTACATCGTCATATGTTTGTGGTGCTGACTGAAATAGGCTTTGTAGGAGATCTCAGTCTAGGGAACTAATTACTTGTGCCGATTGCCGCACTGATGAATAGACCCTCATTGTATCATTCCCCTGAAGACAAGGAGCAGCCTGTGATTCACGACTGCATCCTGGCTGATATTTGATAATAATTTTAACAGATAAGTGTAGGTAGGCAGAATGATGAAGTGCCTATCCAAGCTACATGACTATCAAAGCCATACACGTAGCCATCTGTGTACCGTCTTTTTGCCTTTCACCTAAGGAGAATTTTATTAATTGAGTTCAAACTCTTGTCTTTTGCTTCTATGTGTACTCTGTAGGAGCTTCTTTCTTATTTTAAATGGTATTGTAATAGTTTTCACTTAAAATGTACACAGCAAAATAAGAAAGAAGAATAAAAGAGCTTTTTAATTTTTTTTTTTGAGGACTGCAATTCTTACACTTTTTTTTGTATTCCATTTTGGTTACATTATATCTCCTCCTCTTTATGCATGATCAAAATCAACAAAGGAAATTTTTGATGTTCTCATTGTGTCCCCAGCTTTCTCAGAAAAGACCGTTGGATTTCTATTATTTTTTTAAAAATATCTTCTTTTAATAATGTACTGTTAGTTGTCTATGCTTTTATTAATCTGAGATAATTTTTAATCAATAAAGTACTTATTTACAAATTATTTTGAATTTTTAAAGGTTGCATCTCTAACACATCAAAATAAGAGTAACTTTTAAATGGGTATTTTGGGACTGTCAGTTGGTCAAGACTAATATGTCAAAGCTGACAGGTACAATTTTATTAGCTCATGAAATACAAGTGTGATTTTATTTTGTATTAGTTATTCCTTACAGAAGTTTTGATTATGAATTTTTTTATTTAATGAAGCTTACAATTTATCATGCTGTGTATCTTTAGTGAATAAATGTATTCTGCAGGTTTTTTTTTTTACTGTAACTAAAAGAACTTCATATTAGTGTTTTCCTTATAAAATATTTTCCAGCATGCTAGATTATGATTGGTTAATAGAAGAGAAAGTTGACATTTATATATTGCCATATAAAAGATCTACATAATTGGAGAAAATAGTGTCGAACCCTTTAAAAAATACATTTCCAAAAGTATGCTTTTGATATAGCAATTATTGCACATCATATAGCATGTAGTTTTTAATTAAATATAAAAACAGACTACATAAAACAGAAATCCAATCTGATTTGCTTGAAAATAGATTGCTATTTCACTCTATAGGAATGGTTTATTTAAAAACAGTAAATGGAAAAGAAATGCATTTTCTTGTGTTGTTCTAAGCCTCAGGGGCTAAATGTAATGAATATTTTAAGAGATTATTTTAATTAAATTCCTGCACATCTAAACAGAGTAATATTTTATTATCACATACATAACCATGTAACTGAGATATTCATTAAAGTTAACACTTTCTGGACCAAGAATTCATGGTGTGATTTACTGACCTTGTGCAAAAAGGCACAAATTAGGAAGAAAAATGAAGGGGGACAGACTTTGATTAATATAGGTAATGCTATACCATATTTATAATAGCCTTTTCCCTATTCTGGTTTATAAATGCAGCCACAGAGAAAGGTGCCCTGCTGAGGCTGAAATGAGGCTGAAATCAGAGCACATGCCACTAGAGTGTGGGGAAACTGATCACACTGTCAGCAATTCATTTTAAAATGATGTATTTAGTGCTCATTTCACCTTCCAAGAAAAAGGAAAAGGAGTTCCTTAGACTGGAAGGTGATATTGTTATTTTCAAGGACATACCTAAGTTAAAGATTGCAGAAAAGGGGAGTGTGAGGTGGAGGGAGAATTAAGAGGAAGGGGAGGGAAAAAAAAAAGGCAGAGCAAACAAGGAGAGCTTTATGCAGAAATTCAGTGCTACCACGCTGTTTGATAATTGCTAACATATGTGGCTTCTCTGTTTCATTGTAGTCGTCCTCGTGAGTTCTGGCGCCTTGACTACTGGGAAGATGACTTGCGGCGCCGGCGACGATTTGTGCGTAACCCTCTAGGATCGACACATCCTGAAGCGACACTAAAAACAGCCGTGGAACATGGTCAGTGTATAAACCACTCCTTGCCAGTAGCAGCAGGTACAGTACTTGGTAATGAAGAGCATAACTTCATTATTACAAGGCACTGTAAAATGGTCCATACCACATTTCATAGTTACTCACCTCAGAAAGAGAAGTTAAATTTTTTATAGTTAGTGTAGGGTTCTATTAAATTATGGTGTCAAGTGTATTTACTTATTATGTTACACATGCAAAACTTACTTAACATAGACCCTTTGTTTCAGAGTAGTAGGGTAAAATATTTCTCTTTTTAAGTGACACATTCAGCTTTGAGTAAATTAATCGGAATGCCTGCCTTAAACCCATGAATATCAGAAAGACAGCATTTACAAACCAAATAGATTTCTAGGTTCTGTTGTGTGTATATGGTTTTCCCTCAACTATGGAATTTTAGCATGATATTATGAAGTGGGAGAGATGGTAATAAATGTCCAAGTGTCTAGATACTTTCTGAGCCTTGATTTGTAGATGGTTGTGATAGATGGCTCCTGGAAAAAGAGAATAGACATTATTTTCATATGTTGCTGTTTTGCATCATCTTGTTATCAGAGCTTAACAAAACATTTTTCCCTTTTTTGATATAATGCATATCACTATGATTCAGATTAGACAGAAGAAGCCTGATGAGCAAATGGGAGAAAATTTGGATTTAATAATATACTCTCTTTGATCATAGCATTTCACTTAGTATTTTGTAACTTGTGAAAGCCAATTAAGATACATTGATTAAGGAGAGGAAAGCTCCTCTCTACATTAAGTTAATTTTGATTTTATAAAATATAAATTGGTTATTTTTTAATAAGATAGTTTTAATTCCCTTTTTTCAAGGTATTGGTTTAACATGCAGCAGTTTAGGGTTAAATGATAGTATGGCGTATACAAAATAAATGTAAAATTACATTCAATAAGGATATTAAGAATTTAGATTAAAAGTCTGTGATTTTAGGTTTGGCCTCAGTCAGGCAGCTTAACCTCTTGCACTCAGCCTTAAAGAGCCATTTCTGGAAGAAAATGTCCACAATATGTCATCAGATATAACACCAAATGTGACATCAGTCCTTTAAAATAAATGATCATACAGAGAATAGTCAATAACAAAGTGATCTAAAAGCAATAATAGTCTGAGGGCCCTACATCTTCAACTACAGGAGGTGGGGAAAGAGAAATAAGATGTAGAATTAATTAGGCCACTTTCGCTTTTAGGGTTCATGTGCTTTTTATGTGGTGCTATAGATTTCAGAGTTATATTTATTTTTTCCTTTTCTTTCCTTTTTTTTTTCCTTTTGACTAATGACTCTTACAATGAAAAAAAATTAGCTTAATTTTGCAGTTTTATACTTTTCTGTCAAACAGACGTTAGCATGTACACTTAAAATTTAATAAATATCTTTCTGTCTTCTTAACTGTCATTTAACATTGAATTGTGAAGCCTGAAGTCTTATCAGTGACAATAAATGTTTTTATGAAAATTTTTCCTTTTATACCTGGAGAGGGGGCTTGCTTTTAAAATTATACATAGGCAATCTGTTAATCCTTAATTTTGAAAGAAATATCAGTAACTGAATTTAAAATATTATGTCAGCTTTTTTTAATGCTAAGAAGTTGGCTAAAAAATATTTATTAGCAATGCTTACTGTCATTTAAGACTTTTTTAATCCTGTATGGAAGCAGATTTCACTCAAATTACTCTATAAATAGTAATTGAAAGGTTAATATAATATTAATTTGTTAAATTGAGAGAAGTAAAGCAAAGCACTTAATGTAATTCCATCTTATTTGACAATATTCAACATGAATCTTAAAATGATTAATATTTAAAATACTCTGAAAGATTAAAAACAAATTTAAATCTGAAATGTATTTTTTTAAAAACTGTGTGTAGGAGATGCTTCAGTGGTCTGCCAATTAAGGAGATATGTCATATTTAATATAACATTTTTTGATAAAAGATACATATATATACTTTGTATATATTTTTTATTTTAAATAATGAATATTAGACAGTTTTAAAACTCAGCATATAGATTGTACAGTGGTAGTGTTTCCTGTCAGCCTGATTAATGCTAGTTCATTTATTAGCCAAGAACTTAATTTTTTAGTGTTTTATTAAAGTACCTTACAGTTGATGTCAATTTTAATTTTGTGTTAATTATGAAATTCTTGTTCTTTAGCCTTAACTTAATAACAATAAGGAAGCTAATGAAAATAAACATTAAAAATCAAGTTAGCAAAACAAAGCAGTGAATATAATCAAGAAGCAATTGAAATTACAGAATTTAGCATGGATAAATGCTATGCTTCAGTGTTGAATTTGAATATTTAAAATAGATATTACTGAGGGTATTGTGTCAGTTTTATACTGTTTTAGGACTTCTCACTTTTATTTATAATGGATTTAACGAGGGACTCACATTGTTTAATGCAGAATCTTAAAACATCATGAACTATATTATTATAAAAGGGAAACATCTAAATAGAAATGCCGTTGGAGATTAGTTATTTTAGTATTAAGAGCCATCTTTTTTATAGATTGATTTGATTTGAAGGAAAGCCTCTGGTGTAAAGGTGGCAGAGTAAATACCTGAAGAGTGATGTTCTCTGTTCTGGCGATCAATACTAGCCCCATGACTCTACTTCTGGCTACCTTCTAGTTAAAAACAAATTTTTTAATTCTGACAATTTAATTGCCCTTCCCAAGTTCACATTAACTTGCTTGGGGAAAAGGGCCTTAGGTAATTTTTCAAAGAGAGACCCTCCAAAGTGGTTATTTATAAAAGTCATTTTGTAATGGGAGATTTCTTTAACTTTGCAGAAACTGAGTCATATTTTTAAATTAAAATTAATACTTCCTCTTATTATCAAATATTCTTTATGGAAATTAGCAGCAAGCAGAGGTGGGTATTTGATTCTTGAGGGCATTTTCTTGCATTTTATGGTTTAAAATTTATTAGAAATTAGTTGTAATGATTTGTAACATTCTCCTAATGCACAGGACCCAGTTTGTCAGTTATTTATTATCACAGCATTTTAGATCTGGAAAGATCTGGAAAGAACCAAAAGCTAAAGTCTATTCTAACTTTATTCTTTATAAATAAGGAAACTGAGGAAACAAAAAGCCACATAATTCTTGGTACATACAGAACTAAAGCCCAGGTTAACTGACGACTAATCAGATTTTCTTATTGTAGTGCTATACTGTCTTCTAAAATTCATTGTTAAATATAATGGGAACTTTACATTTAAATTAAAGCCACGTAAAAAATGTTTTAAATGGTGGAAAGATTGGTTTTAATTCAAATAATGAAACAGTTTAGCAGTAGAATCCTATTGAATTCAAGACATTTTCATTTTGTAGTGAATGTGCATGCTAATGGAAATATTTGAGAAGAATTTAACATAGTTTAAGAAGTATCTTGTATGGAATGATACAAGTAACTCATCTGGTTTTCTTGGGATGACAGATCATATAAAGATCCTAAATCATACCATTCTTTCATAACTTCAATAATGCCAGATACTGTGGCTTCCTTTTTAGGATCAACATATATTAGGTTCTGTAACTAAAACTCATTAGGAGATGACCTTGGCTTGTTCTCTTAATCTCCTAATCATCTTTTGTAGTTTTACCAATATTTCTAGAGTAAATTGCCTTGACTTGGAACCCTTCGGAAATTGCATAAACTACACAGTTTGGGACAGTAGTTGTGTATAAGATATTCTTTAAGTGTCTTGTTTAGAATAAGCAGTAATGGTTATAGGCATTTCACATCACATTAAGTGGATACCCACACTCATTTTATTTACACTTGAGGTCATTTTGTTATTCCAGTAGTAATTTTTTTTTTAAAGTGGTTAATTCTCAATGTATAAACTTCTTTTACTGTACTATGGACTGTTGATTCCATTTCACTCGTACAGTGGACTTTTAAAAAGGAGTTTTATGTCATAGGTGGAACCATTTTCTGTGTTCTTTTTCTGTTTTAATTTTATTTAGCTAGCTTGTGTTGCACAGATAAATCAACTCATGCCTAGAGCTAGCTCTAAAGAACTTGAACTTTACATCTTGAGGACCAGCTTTTCTCTGAGCCCTCTCATTGCTCTTAGCTTCAGTGAATCAAAAGTCATGTTTCAAAAAAAGCATTTTTGACAGATTTCTCTGGTTTTATGTAACAATTGCAGTTTAGTTATCAAGTTAGGGTAAATACTAAATCAGAATAAAATGTGAGACTATATGAAGGCAACCTGTTAATAGTGATATGAAAAATTTAAATAGTTATCATGTTTGGTAATAATTTTATTAGCCAGCAAAGATCTGAATCAGCTTTGAAATGGAACCAGAAGTGTGTTCTGACTTCATCCAATTAAACTTTTATGCTAGTGTAGAATATACTCACAAAAAATATCAAAACAGTTGATACTTGTTTTAATGATTGAGTAGAAGGCAAACAGAAGTTAAAAATATACTTTCCCCAGCATATATAAACATGATAATTATCTTTTATTTTATGCTTGGGATAGTTTTGTTCTAATTTTGAAACAAACAAAAAAAAAGTTCTTTAGCAGAGAGCTATTAGACCACTGAGAATTGAACACCAGCGCATGTGGTGTGTGTTAGAGTACTGTTGGTAATTTTACTGCTGCTAACTTAAAATCCTCAAGGGGGAGTTAATTACAGGAAAACCATTCTAAATATCAGTAAGCTGCATATTTTCCATGACAAGAGGTTTTTCAGTTGAGGTTGAACAATTCCAGAATCAGAGCTTGTAAAAATAAGTAAATAAATAAATTAAAGTGGGTGTTTGTATGCATACATTAGACTTATAGTACTTCAAAATTTTTTCATAAAATTTTATTTAATTCAAAAGTTAATTGTGTTTTAATATGTGTCAGCATGATGAGAACATAAAAATTTTTTTAAGTTACAGTTGGATGGGATAACAAATTATATTTTGTGGTCATTTAAAATGAATGAATGAATTTATTGAGCTATGTTAAACCACTGCATATTGCTACTTGGCTACTCTCATTTTTTGTAAATGTTTGCAGATTACAGGGTTTTTTTTACTTTCTTTCCTCCCCTGCCCCCCACCCCCTCGCCCCAAGCTTGGTGTAGGGTACTTCAGGACATGTATGGTAATAATCAGAGATAGTAATGAGCAGGGTATTGAATTTGGTTGTTTCTGATATATTTGTCATATGCTCATCAAATTTAGGTTTGGAAATGAATATTTTTGTATTCTTAACTTGTGTATTATAATTTTGACTTAACCTTTTAAATGTACTATGAGAAACAAGAATTATTAAACTAATCCATAAATTCTATATATATAGATAGATAGATAGATATATAGATACTGATATTTGTGTAATGGTTAAGATACTGGTACCATAATGCTTGGATTTCAATCCTGACTCTACTTCTCACTAGCTGTGTTGCCTTTGGCAAGTTATGTAACCTCTCTGAGCCTCTTTACCCATCTGGAAAGGAGAAATTAGCAGAGGGCTTAAGAGAATTAAATGAGTTAAATAAGTAAAGTGTTTTGAACATTCCCCGGCACATGTTATTTAATATTAGCATTATTATTATTTCTGCTTTGAAGAAGGAACTGTACATCTAGAAAAAGAGAATGTAACATTGATTTTCTACTAAAATCTGATTAGCAATTGTTAATTTATTATGATTTGCTTTATAAGAAAGTATAGAAGATGATGGTTTCTCCTGTATATCTCAGTGACCAATATATTTTTAGTAACACTCATAGTAAATTGGGAAAGATCTTGCTTGGTCTCAGGTCAGTGTTTATGATTTCAGAGTAAGGAAATATAAATACTTGAAATGTAAACAATGATATAACAATGCTATTTTCCTAAAAATTAGGGATTTTTGGTATATTTCTTTGTGGCTTAAAAAATAAAGGCACTTTAATTAGATACTTTAAAGTTTTTCAAAATATTTATTGAGACCTTCGTATGTGTGCAGCATACTCTGCTTGTTATTTGTGGGTTTGAAGGAAAATAAAATTTGATTTACCCATAGAGGGTATTCAAAGCTAAATATAGAGAGCTTCCTCCCATGACATTCTTATTTAATATAAAGCCACTATTTTCTTTTCAAGTAGTGCCGTTAGTTTTGTACATAAATGGTATACATTGTGAACTCGCAATAAATAAGATAAAAATAAACTTTTACCTTTATTATTATTCATAACCATACCTATTAAAATCAAAGAAGCTTTGATTTGTCAAAACATTCAGTAACATACAATTAGTTTAACTATTTAGAAAAAACTATATAGGTAAATATTAATCATATTACTGTAAACATTATCCTTTCTGGGTTTGGGGCCTTAATGCCTGGGCAGAAATTGCAGTGAAGCAAAAAGCCTAGCTAGCCATCTGATTTCCATTTCAATAGCCACTGCCTGGGTGGATCAGGTGCTTTGCCTCCTGGATTTCCCTAGCTGGCAATCCGGGAATATCAGTAGTGAAGCAAAGATTCTAAACTTTCCCTGATATGACACTAGGAGTTTTTAAAAATCACAACCCAAAATTTAGTATCTGCTTTTATGTATTTCTGAAGGAGAAAGCTGCTCAAAGCAGTGGGAGTTACCCTGGGAAGGGGTATGGGGTTTTGAAGTCAGAATTTTGAGTTTCAGTGTTTTCTCCTTTCAGCTGCACCTCTTTTTCTCTTTCTGGTTCAATTGTTGGCTGTAGGTGCTCCATAGAGCATCATTCCCTAGGATTGGTGTACCCTCTTCCTCCTTCCTCTCCTTTCTGGCTGCCTTGTCACAGGGGCTGAGAGTCTGGTGCTGCTACTCTCCACAGGCTGCTCCAGTTCAGGCCCTGTAAGACTCTTTGCCCAGATGCCTCTCCTCCTGGGCTTTCTGTTATGTTTGCCCCCGGGGTGTCTTAGCCTTTTAGTTTAAACACATGGAGGAGGTAGCTTTTGAGCCTCCACTTAGTTTCCAGTGTCTTACTCCTCTTGGATATTTATATAAAGGCTGGAGTGGGGGTCTGCGTGGGAGAGATGTGGGCAAAGGCAATATGAAGGCAAGAGGGAGGATTGGAGTAAAGAAGAGAATGCAGCTTCTGAGAGCTGCTATAGCTTTCTTGATGTCAGCTTTGGCTTCAGGATTGGGTTTACATCCTCACTGGCTGTGAATCTCTCTTAGCTCTGACCCTTCTTATTCTGGATTCACCTCCACAACCACTCCCTGACCATTTCATAATGTTTTGTCAGTATAATCATTATTTGCAGGGATGATCAGCCTTTCTTATTTTTCAGTATGAAGTAGTTTCCAAAACTGGATTCTGATTTTTTTCTGCTAATTTCCCAAAAATGTGCTGCCTTTGAACCCTCTCTTGCCCTAACTGTAAGTAAATAAATGTTTCGGTGAGCGGTGCAAGGGTCAGATTTAATGGGATTAGGGTGCTTGTTCAAGGTAACATTAGACTAGGCTTGGAGAATCACGTTTGTCAAAAGGAACATGTGTGCCATCCCAATCACTTTCCCACTGTGGATGACTCTGTGTAAAAATGATTGACCATCTTTGGCCACCTATCCTTACTTCACTTCTCTGCCCTCTGCCAAAGTACTCTTCCCTAGAGCTGATGGACAGCTTTGTTTCCTTTTCATTTCAGCTGCGGATGAAGATATCCTCACTAAAGGAAAACAGTCCATCAAGAGTCAGGCTTTAGGAAATCAGAACTCAGAAAACGAGATCCTCTTGGAAGGCGACGACGATACTCTGTCATCCGTGGATGAGAAAGATTTAGAGAATCTCGCTGGTAAATTCAGTGGTTGTGTGGATATTTCAGCTAGCTCCGGGCCAATAACCATCTAATTACTTACTTTTTCATCTGTGACCACTAGGACTACCAAGTTTACACCCACAATTACTTTAAATGAAGATTGTTTTTGTTCTTCCAAACATTTTCCCCCTAATCTTCAACACGGTTTCCCCTTTATTTTTCCATTCTTTTCAGTTTCTTTACCCTTCTCATCTTTTTCGTTTATGAATAATTTTCACTGTAAAAGAAAAAAAGTTTAAAAGCAGCCACAACAAAATTCCTTCACCCATGGGAGTTACCTAATCTCTATAAAATGAGAGCTATAAGTAAAATTTTGCAGATTGTTTTGTAAATAAAGCTTGGAGGCAGATGAGCTATTTGCTTTGATATACAGGTCTTAGTGAACATGCTGCATATACATTTAACTCTCTCAAAAAATCCATTCCAAGAATGCTATGGCATTTCACAGGATCCACATATTTTACCTGATGTAGGAATTTTGATTTGCACTTGCAGATTTTCAGTTTTACTTCCCTTATGGGAAAAATTCTCTTGTTTAGCCTGAAATTTTAGTCATTCATTAAATGGCTTTTTTTCTTTAATGGCTGTGGCTCTCTCCCTCCAGGAGGAAAGTCTGAAAGATTCCACAATTTCCGTAGGTGAAAATTGTACAGTCTTCTTTTTTGATAATTTTAATTTAAGAGAAAAGGCATCAGGAATTTTTCATTTAGTGATATGTCTGCAACCTGTGCTACCATGCAGTGAATTAGAATGAAAAGCAAAAATAGATGATGGTATCTTCTCTGATGACCCATAAACCTCTCTAGAAAGTAAAAATAAAATTAATTAGAGCACACTGTTAAGGGATTTGGGCTAGGCGTGGAGAGTAGGTGGACACTGGTGTTCTCTAGCCTTTTCCTTCACATCTATTTACCCATTTCCTCCTCCTTTATTTTGCTTCTGTTCTTGCTGCTAGTAATACATTCATACAGTAATAGAGGTGAAAGGGGAGTTTAATTATATAATCTTGACAATGGCAATAGGATTAAGAAGTAATCCACACTAATAAAGTGGTGTGGGTTAGAAATGAAGTGGAAATTGTCAGGGGTCTTCTGTAGGACCTAGGCTGCCCTAGCTCCTGCAGCTGTCTGCTTACCCTGTAATTGAATGTCTGAGAGTGATTGAAAAAATGTTATTTCTTCTCAGGATTACATGCTAATGTACAGAGGGCAAAGGAGACAGCAAAAGAACACATAGCTGCTTATTTCATCCATTTATAGGGATGAGCTTTGGGAAATCATGGCTGTTCTGCAGCTATCTGCTGCCCATCTGCAAACACAATGTATTTGTACATTGGGAATAGAGGGCAAAACCTGCTCTGATCTCCGCAGAGCATCCCTTCTATTGTCCTACTGGCACACATTAAGATTGATGTGAGATTAAGGACCAGCACCTTCTAACAATCGATGGAAATGTCGATTCATCTGAATTTTGAAACGCTTATTCACCCATTGATTACCTGAATAGGTGTACCATGTTTATAGGCACTATATTAATTCAAAACTATAAGTGCCAATTTTCTGTTGCTGTTTTCTTCACCTATAGGATTTGTACAGTGAGGAATTGACGGGATTTCAAATTCTTACTTTCTCTCTCTACCTAAATATATATATGTATGTAATATAATAATTACTTTTAGTCCTTTATTTTAGGTTTACCTCTAATATACTTTATGCTCTTCTGTCTGTAGTGAATCTATTGTTTTCAGTAGCAGGCTGATTTGTCTTTTTGATAAGCCCTGTGGAGATTTGATTATTCCAATAAAAATTCATTCACTTGGAAACCCACCCTCCAGCTGTTTACTCCCAGAGTCCCTGAACTACACTAATATTAGATTTGGAAGCATTGAACAATATTTAACAGTGGAAAGGCAGGCTTAGAAAAGGAGTATTTTTTTCCAGTCTTTCATGGGGTAAAGTTATTATGAAGAGGTTTTGTGTCAACCTGGCACAAAATCTTTATCAGAGAATATGGTGTAACGTTTCTCACTTCACTAATAAGCTAGTGATCTTTGGTGTAATCATGTTTCAGCCAAACTAAGCTAACCTCTGGCCTTGGAAGCCTATTGAGTCTTCCTTGCTTCTGGTTGTTGTTCCATGTTGTTGGATAGCCTGAGGCTTGTTTTCTAAATGGAATGTGGAAGGACTTACTTAGGCAGAGCCACGTTCTTACCAGGAGATTAGACCAAAGCTTTGCAGACTCCCTGTAAAATAATTGCATCCTAGTTTACTGTTATCATTAACCGTCTACTATAAATTTCTTAGTATGAGAATTCTAGTAACTGCATTTTCAGAGGAAGATTTGGGTTAGACAGAATTTGTAAGTGTAGACAATTTGGCAGACAATTTGGTGCTAGAGGTGGGAATTTAAAAATAAAATTTCTGCTTGAATCTGTTAGATATTTTTGAAAAATGTCAATCCAACATGTGTGGCTTGTCTTTTGCTTTTGGCAGGTCCTGTTAGCCTGAGCACACTGGCTCAGCTTGTGGCCCCCTCTGTTGTAGTAAAGGGCACTCTTTCTGTCACCTCCTCCGAACTCTATTTTGAGGTGGATGAAGAGGACTCTAACTTCAAGAAAATCGACCCCAAGGTGAGAAGATGAGGAGTGGGTTTCACTTTTAAACATTTTTTTTTCTTAACGCTGGTACGGTGGGCTGCTGTTGGGTAGGATTGGCATTGGTAAAATCTGACAGACTTAGTTTGAATTTCTTGCTGAATTGCTTCTGCCTACATGCAAGGCAACTATCTTCTTTAGCTTATGATTCCCTTACCAGCTAGTTAGATTATTGAAGTTCATTTAGATTCAAAAACAATTTCCACTTAATTGCGTTTATCATTAGCTCATTCTGGGCTTGGGGCAAAACCACAGGGAATATCGTCCATAAATATATTTTGCCGCAAAAGGTCCAGGGTGAATTAAGCTACAAAATTCAGTGAGGTTGAGAGTGGAATTATTTTGTTTAGCCTTTATATTTCCTGGATATAATACCAATATATCACTCTCCTTGCTTTGTCCTCATGACTTACTACTCTGTTGTGCACGCAAGCATGTCTTGTGTGTGTGAGATACCTCTGTTTCCCATTACCTACAGTCGATTTTACAAGGCACTGCATAATTTCCTATTCTTAAATGAAAATGTAATTTCCCCTTTAAAATGTATTTCTGATTACTTTTCAGACCTTGGCAACTTTATTTTACTAAGAAACATTTGTGGCACAGCCATAAAGCCAAAGCTAGGTTTATTTCATGAAAGTGAATTTGTTCTGATAGGAAACAGTCTCTTTTAAAATGAGCAAAATAAGCAACCTGTAGAAGAGAAGTGGCTTAAAAAAGGGAATTATTTATTTTAGAGTCTGATAGCTTGTGTGAACACACATATTTTGCGTTTACTGATAGGAAGTTCTTTGGTACTATAATCATGTGAATTATTAAATTTTAGTGATTTAGAAGTATTTCAAAGTAATTGATAAAAATGTAATTTTATTTAAAACTTTACAAACAAATCATCTCTTGTCTTACATGTGTTTCTAGCATTTTGTTTCAGAATTGCTGCCTTTATAAAAATAAGATTTGATAGACTGTATAAAAGGAAGGCTATGTTGGAAATGACTGTTTTGAACTTGATAATTCAGCCAATTCAATGTAGAGAAAACTTTAATTGTGAAATTACATCAACTAGAAAAATTTCCTACTTTTTTACATGGCTCTACTATCTGAAATTATATTTTAGTTTCTTTAGGAAATAAAGGTAACCAAAATTACTTAAACTCTCTAATTTTGGTACTTTGTATGTTTGAGAGGCTGAAATTTAATTCAGAATATTCTGTTACGGTTTTTGACATACGTGGCATAGAATCTAAAATGTGATGTAATTTAAAGGTGTCTAATTGTTCGCAAGATTAGGATCTCTGCCAGTCTTTGCAGTGAGGCTCTTTAAAGTTATTTACTCCTTTTGAGAGAAGTTAGAACTTTTATCTCTCTCTAATTTTATTCTGTGCAACATCATTAAATTAATTTTTCCCCTATTGCTTGCGCAATACAAAGATCTTTTAGCCTAATCACTCATTTGTCTTGTACCCCTGCAACCTGCCTAATGTTACAGAAATCAGAATTTTGCCAATTTATATTCTTAAAAATTTTCAGCCAATTATTGAAAGAAATTTTTATTTTGTGTAGACGTTGGTGCTTTCAGGTGTTTTATAAATGAGGACACTTGTGGCAGTGTTTTTCTTTTTTTGTTGGTGATACCTACATTAAATAAGGCAGGAAAAAAACACTGAATTTGGGGAATTTTTGTTGTTCTTGTCAGGACTTAAAAACTTCTTCCTGGGATAGTTGGAGAGAGAGAGAGTGTCTAATGCTGTAAATACTTGTGTGCATAAGAAGAAAAAAGGTCATTTTAAGATGTCATTTTTATCTTTTAAACTAAACACTGCCCTTAAATCATTTCTTTGTAAATGTGAGCACCTACTACTTGCTTTGAAAATGTTCCTAAAAAATCAGAACATTTTCCCCCGGGAATAGTTCATTTTTATTATTAAAAAATCAGTATTTTTGTCTGAACCACTTAGTATTACAGTGAGTTTGTTTTACATCTACAGGAAGAGAGATCAGAGAAAGATACAGTGTAGGTTGAAAGAGTAGAGATTATTTCAGAACTGATAAGATCAAAGTTTATATTTCTAAAACAAAACTATTTTTACTAGGGAATTCTTACCAGGGAATCTGAGAACTTAAGCCTCTTTTGTCAAGTGAACTAGGCACCAGAGCCCTGAGTACCTTCCTTGTTTCTCATCCATCTATGCTGTCCTGTGGATCATCCCTCCATACACTCCCTCCCCCATGTGAAGTTCTTCCTCAGATCTTTAAAATTCCTTTTTAGAACATTTTTGTCTACACCTCTCATTCATGGATTTTTCAATAAATTAAAAACTAGACTAATTCAAATAATAAATTTTAAAGGTTAAAGGGTAATATCTGACGTACTTTCTATACCTGTGCCTCATTATTAGCATATCTAATGGAGTATATTGAAGAAAACATAAAGAAGACAAACCAAACCAGTTCCTTTGGGATGCTTTCAGTTTTACTAATTATTTTATTTTTAATTAGTTATTTCCTTGTATTAAAATAAAACCTTTGTTAATTTAGATGAAGTGTTAAAATGAGTATATTGGATTGTTACCTTAGAAAAGCAGGAGTAATGTACTTTTCCTGTATGTAAATTCTTGAAAATAATTTTTCTTTGGTCATAAAAATAGTATTCAAATCTTTTTTTGTTTCAATTGCCTATAAGCACCTTCTGAATAATTCTGGGAATTTGACAAATAATGATTATAGTTATGGCATTTATAACTAAACCTTAAAGAACTGAGGTAGTTTCTAAATCTGGATTGTTCATATCACCATTTCCTGGGGAAAAGGAGTATTGCTATAACCATTTTATTCTTTTTTGGTATGGCTGATTTAATTGTTAAGTTTTTATTTTAAGCTCGAAGAGGACAAATAATTGAAAGCAAAGTATCAACTGATCATGTTAACTCTTGAGAAAAGATCCATGAATATTGCCTTTGTTTTTCAGACTCAGAATGGATTTTTTAAAACTATGATGTAAGAAAGCAAATCTCTTAATTTTTAATCTGAAATAATTTTTTTCTATTTTAGACATTAGGACCAAAATCTTTTCTTCCACACAAAAATCTGTTTTTTTCAAGTGTGAAGAAAGATACTACTTTAAACCTCAAAATTTACAGAACAAACATTACAGTTGGGTAAAATTAATATTTTCTCTTTTCCAAGGATGGGGGAGGGGACTTGTATGGTTAAACCTACAAAAAAGGGCTGTATTTGTAAATTTTGCAAATTAGACTTCCTTTGAAAGCTTCTTGCATTTAGTTTCTGAAGTTCACATCTTTACATTGTAAATTATAAATTGTGATCTCACCTGCCTTCATTTAAGAACAATCCACAGTCAATTACAATGTAAAGTAATATTTTTATTACTGTTTTCAACAAGACTGCTTAGGGTGAGGGTAGAGGTGCAAGAAAGGGAGGGGCACAGTCTGACATTGGCACTGAGATACATTTAACATCAGCACAACTTTTTTTAAAAGAGAAATTTTACATATAATTAAATACTTTTTCTCACTTGGTGACAACATTCAGGCAACCCAAAACAAAATGAAATGAGAGGGAGAGGAAGAGGGAAAGAAAGAAGATGAGAGAGGGGAGAAAGGAGAAAGGGAGAGAAGGAAAAGAGGAGAAACTACTATACATTGATTTGAAAATGTACCTTGGGTTTCATTTTGTGGTGGCAAAGCCCGATTGCTTCTTTTGTGTGACCTTTTAAATTCACATTGTTTGGAAGAAAAACGATCACTTTTGTGCAAGAATGTGATTTTGTTTGTTTGGTTGGTTGGTTTGCTCTCTTTTTGTTTGCTTGTTAATTAACGAAGGTCTTGTGCCGGCTTCCTGTTTCTTTAGGTGGCTTACATAAAAGTTTGTGTCCGGAGTTTCTGCTGTTTGTAGCTGAGTTGTGTGTTTTGTGTGTAAGAGAGCATTCCTGTTTGTGTCGCTTTTCAAGCAGTCCCCAGCACCCTATAGTTTGTCCAGGCTTTTGGGATTGGTGAGAATTTCCCTGGCCAACCTCCAGGTCTGCTTGGCAGCGCTCTCCAGGGCCGAATGGGGCTTGCCCTGAAAAAGGTCGAGGTTGGGCAGAAAGTAGTGAGGGCAGCGGCGGCACTGCAGGCAGGAGATGAGCTGCAGCAGGATGCCGTTGAGCCGATCGCCTAGGCACGCCTCGTCCCAGTCCGTTTCCCGCGGGTGTTTCTCACACTCATACAGCAGCAGCGTCTTCATGTGGTAGTTATTGAGCGGCTGGCCTGGCAGCTCCAAGTGGCGGTCCCGCAGCGTCTTCAGCACCGAGAGACACTTGTTTCGGCAGCCGCCCATCAGCAGGCGGTTCTCAGCCTCCCCGAACTGTAGCACCCAGGCATCGCTCTCCGCAGAGCTCTGCTTGCCGGTCAGTGAGTAGCACTCCTTCGACAGCAAGTTGAACCCTTCGGCCTTGACCTCCGCCACCCGATTGGGGCCAGGCCAGGGGATATGGGGCATAGGCCACTGTGCCGCACTGCGAGGCCAGATACCGGTGCACTTGAACGCGGGAGTGATTTGCACCACGTAGCGCTCCCTGATGCGCAACTTAACCTCGCTGGTGTCTGCGATCATCTTGACCACATCCCGATAGCTGCACTTGTCCACCGCCTGAGCCACCAGGGTCTGGAAACGTGAGCGGATCTTGCGCGCTGAGAGGTAGCCGGACGCTGTGATGAACTCGACCCAGAGAGACATGCTCCGCTTCCGCCCATCACTCAGTTTGAGCACCGCGCAGCCGGGCAGGGAGCCGTCGTCCACGAAGTTGAAGACGCCCATCTGGTTTAGGTAGAGCACCACCTCGAATTCCGTGGGCGAGATGACCTCCAGCCCCTCGTAGCGGGCATCGATCTCGCTCAGGGAGCTGATGAAGCGAGGCTCCTGTACCTCCACTTCCTTCAGCACGTCCGAGACCACCTTACAGACCTCTCGGATGGTCTTGGCGATGGCCGCCTTGCGCGCTTGGCAGCGCTCAGTGTAGTATTTATTAAGCTGGTAAACCAGCTTGGCCTGAGCGGCGATCATGTTGGGGCACAGGTCCGGGCTATACACCGGCGTCTCGCAATACGTTGAGGGATCCAAGGCTTACGCAGTGGTGGTGGCCCTGCGGCTGGCGAAAGAGGCGTCGCGCTTCCCCTAAGCCCCACTTTCACTCTTGTTTTCCACCTGGACTGACCGGCTGATAAAACAGCCGGCTTGCTCTTTCTTTCCCCTCTTTAGAAACCTTTTTTCTTCTCCAGAAATAAGAAAAAAAAGGTAATCTTTGAAGAGGAAAAGTACCTGCTGGGACTTTTTTTGCTTGATGTGTAAAATAAAGATGTGCTTGTGAGAGAGATGAAGGGGGGTCGGGGGGGAAGTGGGGGTGAGAGAAAAATTCAGGTTGCCAAGAGGTTAGACTTAGATGTCTGTAGCCGAGATTGCCCAGAAATCTGAAAATGAGGTCTTTTAAGTACCAAAGTAAATTTAAAAATAAAAGCGAAACATTCAGTGTTTCATTCTTAAACTTCTCTCCCACGCTGGTAGGACTTCTTCACTCAGCGTAGGTAAGTGCCTTTTTCCTCACCCTCCCCCAAATGGAAGGTGAAGGACGTAATTAAGGTCCAGAGAGCAGTGAAGTGCAGCTCAGTCCGCGGCACACTTGGAGGTTTGCAGACGCCGCCCGGCACTCTCAGCGTGATGGTCTGGTCTCTTCTCAGGGGGTCGTCTTGTAGCGGTTTTCCTCTTTTCCTACTGGAGGCGTTGTTTGGACTGGGTTTGTTTGCAGTGGTTTCTTCTTGTCTTTCTCTAGGTGCAAACCGCTGGAAGTTGTTTGATATTCATTTCTGCTTCGTAATTTATAATTTTGGCCCTCACAAAATCTATTTTAGTGTGACGAAGTCGTTGCTTGCTTTGCATCTGGGGTTTAGTTATAAGGATTCAGGGGTTTTTCTTCTCCTCCCCCTTTAGGTTGCTTGTGCAGATTCCACTTTCTGAGTCGTCTCTCCCTCCTCCCCTCCAACGTCGTCTCTCTCCTTTTCCCTCTCCCTCCCTCTTTTTCTTCCTCCCACCTCCCTCCTTTTCTCTCTCTTCCTGTCTCTCTCTCCCCCTCTCTCTTCTCTCTCTCTCTCTCTCTCTCTCTCTCTCTCTCTCTCTCTGCCTTGCTGTTTCCTGGAGTTATTTAGTTTATGAATGGTCCAGGGCCATCATGAGGGGGGCGGAGCTTCAGTTCCTACAATCGCTATCCGAGCTGTCAGTGCTTTAGCCAATCCGAGAGAGAAGACAGGCATGCTTGGCAGACAGTAGCAGCCACCGCTGCACTTGATAAAGAAAGGGGGTAAAGAGAGAAGTAAGAAAATAGGAGGAGATAGTGGAAGTCAAATGCTCACACACATTTTACAGCCCCTTTCTTCTTTATCCTCTCCTCTTATCAGTTGCAAGGAAGAAAAAGAGAGTCTATATAGAAGGGACTTCTGGAGATGGCTGGAATAACGCGAGAGAGTAGCAGTGGTTGAGAAAGGTTCACTTTTTTTTTCCTATCAACATTGTGCAGAAGGTGCAAACTCTGACAAAATTACTTTTGCTTGAAGGCAAATAGAAGGAGGAAGGGGAATCTGGGAAAGAACCTACATTTTTCTAGATTTTCTCCTCTGGCAAACTCTTCCTCCCTTCTCTTTCCCTTCTCTCCCATTGTTGCCAAGGGCCAGAGCAATTGCTGTATGTGTGCACCAGTTGGGGTTTGTGTGCGGAGTGGATATGGGGTGAAGGTATATGACCATAAATCTCTTTTCAGTAATTTCCATATGCTGTTGAAAAATGGGGCAGGGTAAAAATAGTGCAAGCACCTTGTTTGATAATTCCTTTATAATTAAGATTCATATATATTTTATGCTATTACTTTATTGTTAAAAAACTAGTTATTAGAAAATATGTTTAAGTTGTGAGAAAGAGTGCAAATTTATATATGGTTGACTATTGTTGGATATAGTTTTAAATTAACATAAGCCACAAAAATTGTTTTAAACAATAAAAAATGAAGGGAAGTAAAAGTGAATCTGAGTTAAAGTTTTCTTAAAATGTTAAATGTTGTAAATCTAGTTTTGAATATACTCTGAGGCAGTACAGAGTTTCACTTGTAAAATGATTTTATTTTCATAATTGACTGTTGCTTTTAAAAGACTTCACTGCTGCAAAAATCTATAACTATCCTGTTATTGATTACACAGATGGCTTCACTCCTCCCTTGGCATTTCACTGAAAACTCATGCATATGCTTTTAGTGTATGTATTATACGTTCAAGCTGTACCCCTTGTAGCCTTTTCCTACTTTTGGTTGGAAGAAACTGTAACAGTGTTTTTGATTTGCTTATAATTGAGGGTTTATGTTTGAACCTCAGGTGTCTAGATGCTGAGTCTTTTTAAGACAAATCAAGTAGATGGAATTATTTTTAATTAGATTTTGGGCATTATATTCTCCGATAATAACATAAGAAGTGAAAATCTATGAAGCCATTTGGGCAAAGACTTCTTTTTGCAAAACCGGTGTACATGCGGCTTTTGCAAAACCCCTTGGGAGGGCTTGAGGTGCCCTCTTAAAAGCTGGACCAGGTGAACTTGAATTCAGTTGCATAAGGAAAGTTTATTTCTCTCCATGTACTTCATGTCAGATACTTGGACCTCTTGGTTCTTTCTTAGATGTCTGGAGCCGACGACGGGTGCCTTGTCACCCCCTCGCTCTCTTTGCCATAAGTCCCTGTCTAAAGAACTGGTTGGCTTTTTAAAAATCAAGTCGGATTTTGTGTAGGATATGTCTTTAAGTAGCCAGGAGTGGGGAAGAACAGTCGGAAGTAAGCGTACACCAAACTCTGGGGTTCCGAGCTTTATAGTCAACTTCTTCCGTAGTGGCAGAGACTTGGGGCGGCTTCAGGCTCCAGCCTTGCTTGGGGCGCAGCTTTCATCTCCGAATGCTTGGCGGTGGAAGGATAGAGCGGAGCCGCGGCGTCTTCGGGGTTCGCGCAAGTGCGAAGCCCAGACTCTGTAGGTAACCTGGCTAATGCTCTCGGGGTCACACTGGCACTGTGGGAAGTATTACGGGGCAGGAGGGGCACTTTGCTGCAGAGTTGTGCGACCAGCCCGAGAGGATCCGTTGCAGCTTCTCCCGAGGGCAGTTACTGGGCGGAGACGTGTCGGGGACAGAGGGTGCAGAGCTTTCCCTCCCAGACCCTCGAGGTGGCCGCTTCTTCCTCACATCGTCCGCAAGCAGGGGAGGCCATGCGTGTGGACCAGCCCGGTCCGCGACACTCCTCGGAGTGTTTGCAAAAAGTCCCGGGGGTGACGGCAGTTGTCCATCTTCTCGGCTCCAGTGCGGCGTCGCCACCCCCAGGTCCATGGGTAGGCGCGCAGCGCCCGCCCTCCTCGGGTGGGGCGGCCCAGGCCATTCGGATCTTCGCGCCACCACTCCCTGATACCCCACTCCTCTTTTTCCAGCTCTGACCTCGACTAAGTTTCGTGGCACCCTTGTCTCTGGGTTTCTCCACTTTTACGTACTGAAGCTGAGGGATGATAAAACGTTACAAATGTTTTGATTTAAAAACAATTCATTACCAATTTACCCTGTCTAAGGTAGATGCTGTAGTAAATAATAAATCAGTTAAACAAAGGCGACTTTAATTTATTGCTGTGGTACTAATTAGAAACATCATTCGAGCAATAAACTTAAACACTTCCAGCAAATAATGCTCGCTCTTGCCAGTTCCCTTCCTTTCCCCCTTCCCCCACCCCAACTCTCCCTGGCTGCCTGTGCTCTAAGAGCTGCTTCAGCTGTGTGTTTGCGGATCCGCTCTTCCTCTGGTTGAATAATTGAAGGGGGAAACGGTATCGGAGGAGGCTGTAATTGAAGAGCCCCTGTCACCTCTGCTTTTATGTATGTTAGTATAGAAGTCCATCAGCAGCTCCTTGATGGTGTATTAAAACGAAGTGGCAGCCCCTTCTGCAGGAGATACCGTATTCTATTAAAGGAGACCAAGTGAGAGAAAGAAACTCTAGAGGCTAAAAGCCACTTCAAGTCTTCAGACCGATTGATCTGTATTCTCTTGTTATAATCCGTCTCAATCATACTTGAGTTAATGAGGCAAAAGAGGGGGAGAGAAATCTGATGGTCCTTGACAAATTCATTAGGGAGGCTGCAGGACATTTTATTTGACTGTTAAACATCTTGTTTGTTTGGTTTAGGCAATGCCAACATCAGCATGCTTCTGCCCAGACCTGTGATGTTGGGCTAGCTATAGACATTCCTAAAAAGAGGAGGAGGATATTCAGGGTGTGATTTGAATTTTTTTGTTTTGGATTTCGTGTCGTCCATAACCTTCAGACTTCTCTAGTCTTTACCTTCAGCATCATTACTTTAGAAGCGTTTTATGAGAATGTGCATGATAATACTAAGGTGGGGGTGTTTTTAGTTACTAGAAACTAAAATGTGTATGTTGAAATTTTAGCCTTAAAATTTCCCATTTCCCTAAAGTATAATTGAGTCAAGTTATAGCAATTAGTGTGCTAGTTCTTGAAAAATGTGAATGTTTAAGCTCCAGAAGAATAGCCAGATTATACATTACGTCCTCTTTTTAATTGATCATGAGCAAATAAACTTTTAATTATTAATTGAATTTCCTCTTGGAATGAAATGCCTATGAGTACAGAAACTTGGAAATAAAACTTAACTATTTATACAAATAAGATTTTCAAAATAAAGTTGGTCTATCTTAATGTGAGGGACTTTTTATATTTAAAATTAGAAGCAAAGCTGCATATTATTTGGTGCTAAAATAAGGTGATGTGTTGGCAGAATGCTTACATTGAAAATATAACTGAAGAATAATGGGCAATTAATAGAATGCTAATTTTATAATATGTTATTCTAAGATAGTAATACAGTACTTGATTTTCTCAAAGTTTTTCTTGAAATAAACAATCCAGTTGTGATACTTTTTTGAATAGAAAATTCAGTCGTATTTTCCTACAGCAGTTGACTTAAACAGCCTCAGCTTAAGTGCTTTGAGAAAAGAACCCTGTCTTCCATTTATAGGAAAACAGTATGAGAGAAAAAAGAGAA